TGTTTCCTTTCCCATGCCTGCTTAGGCGTGGGCAAGTCTACGTGGGATATTGTCCACTAATTATGAAATTGTCCTTTTTCACGCAATCCCCGCAAACCCCCTAGCGGTGTTCTATTCTGACTGTAAATGTATTACCATACCCGACGGTAATACACCCACCATTTGAGAATGAGCATTATCATCAGCATTACCATGTCAGGTGTAAAATATTGTTTTGATGGAGATATGATGAAGATGTATATAGCGAAACGAACACCGTAAATGGAATTGAACTTGTGGAGGAAGCGAACCGAAATCGCAACGAGAAACCAGAGGGGTTAATGCTAAACGAAATTTTCAGCAGGTTAGAATGAATTTCTTTAAGCGGCGGTCGGGACTGGGTGGGGAGTAGTTCACCGTTGCAGTTACGGGCCCGAGTGGGTGGCAGGTAGGAAGAGAATACTCGCGAGTGTGCCATCAGCCAGGGTGAGGCATCGCCACGCCTTCATTGCACTGATATATTTTGGCTTCAAGACGGCCCCGCAACGGCCGTCAAAGTCGTTACAATCGGTGAGGGTATACGCATTACCGTAGCAGCTGGATCTGGGTTGTACGAGGAAATTGACATAGATAGTAAGGAGGACATAGAGTCGCAGATTATTTCGGCCACTATGTGGGTGTCGACCATTACCAGCCAGATTGGATGTATAACAGTTGTACGGGGCGTGTGAAGCAAATACAGCAATAGTCTGGAGCTTAAGCAGAGGGAGAACGAGGAAGGAATATGACGGGAGAATTAGCGTCTGGTGACCGCTAAATATGGAAACATAGTCCCATGTCGTTGATACAACAACTACAAAGGATTACAAGCCTTGAGTCGTTTTCCACGACGTTCTGTACGAAAGTCGCAACCTCATCGGGAACTCCGTACCCAAAATGGTACGCCCCAACATCTTATTCTCACTATGATTAATTGGTTCCACATCGCCAACCGATTCAAAAACTCCTGGCTTTCTGTCTCTATCCCATTCCATGATGGCCTCCCCGGTCTTACAATTATTTTGCCTCTCCTCTTATCCCGCTGAAAATATTTCTGCCATTTTAATCAGCAATACGTCAAAGCCATCTTCGTCATACCTTAACTGACCTTCACATAAATCGTTGAAAAGCTTCCCTTTCCTAGCACGACTGACGCCCTCATCTCTCATCCGGGGCGCACTATCTCTAGTACCGATCGTTTCCCTCGCCAATGGGGTAGCTGTCTTATATACTCTGAAGCCAAAATGGACGTCTTCTCTGATAATTATCTACAACTGCATGACAATCCATACTTTGTTTGGCTTCAAACCCGCTGGCCTAACCTATTGTTCTTTCTCGGTAGCCTGTCTATGCCTCCTCTACACTCCACCAAATCACGTAGCCAACTGCTCAAGCTACTTTCCCCTTCAAAAACTCCACCTCAAACGTTGGACAGGTACGCTCCGCAGAAAGGGTCACCCTATCACGTTGCACAATGGAGTGTTCGTATACTTGCCACCCCTCCGGTAGCACTGTCCATCGCCGGTGGTCCTGAGCCTGGCCTGGAAATCAGGGAACTTAAGCAAAGAGTACCGTTTTCGTTTGTCAGTACCTGGTTCAGACTTATCCCGGGCGTCAGTTACGTGGCAACGCCACAAAATACGGGCAAAGAGCACCTCTCCTTTTGTTTGACTTTTTAAATGCATGGTGATACTCCGTGGGGCTCACGGTTAACATTCACCTGCATGTCTTTGCCACCATCGTCTTGGTTGAGGCTGCACTACACCAAGTCAACCTGATCAGCGGACATAAACACGCCCGCCCCTCGGATATTATCTGTCTAATAACCTTATTTACATTAACCCCTCCGCACACACACTTTGCACAACGGTAACACCGTTTTTTTAGGCGAGATGCCTTTTCGTTTGCTGTTACTGCCACATACAATTCGTTTATTGGAGCTGACAGCAGTGACCCGGTGGCTTTCGACCTACGCCCTTACCTTCCTGTTAAGCTGACCTAGGTAAACCCCCATTATCTCAGAAGCTGTTGCCCAACCGCTCACTATTTATCTGCTGTCCCTGTTTACTTCAACACTCCTTTATGCACAACGGAGACCTTAAGATTGGGTTTTCCTGCCGAGCTGAAAAATACCGCCATGCAATCCTCTGTTCCAAATTGTCCAACGACCAGCTACACCGATAGCTTCATAGGCGGCTCAGTTCTTAACACAACGAAATTGAACATCCACCCTGACCAAGCTAGCACCTACTTTTTCGGTCAGCTAAAGTAATTTGCCCTCTCGTGAGTTCATTTGGCTTCCTGTCGCTCTCTTTTTAGAGTTTTCTAATATAAACCTTTTTATCTTATACCTCCAGGCACTCATCGGACGCTACTGCATTCATCCAATCCATTCTTAATTCCCCCGAGGTAAAAAAATTCGGCTGCGGTTGCCCAAACGTCCCGTAAACATTTATCCATTCAATCTGGCTTGTCCGTGTCAGCGTTAATTTGGTCACCTTATTCTTCCCTACTTATTCCCTACTCATTCATTGGCGACTGAGAGCAAATTCTTCAGCTACCCAAACCGCCTCCGGGATATGTTCTCTCCAGTTTGCTGAATTTCCAGTTTGGATGTGTTATATCAATTTACTTTCCCTGATTCTACTGGGTTACACTCAGATGAAAAGAGGGCAGTAAGAAAATCTTTGTATAATGCAAACACAGACTTTTATGTACATCATTCACTCGCGACCGTATTTGATGGTGGATATGCTCTCAGCCGACCAATGTCTCCTGAAAACCCACCTCGGTTCTCGAGCGGTTTTTTCTTTGTCTCGGTTAGTCAGAGATGACCGTCTGTGCGCTTGTGTACGGAGTGCACATGCCTCCTTGGCATCGGGGAGATGTGAAACACACGCATACCTTCTTCAGTTTCCACCGGCACATGATGAAATCGGACACGGTTAAGACATATGGGCGCACAAGCACGGCACTTTTTCACTTGATGAATATTTTGCTACCCTGTGGGCTGATGCGCGGCCGTATTGAGATCTCGTTGACTACCATTCTATGTTCCTCAAAATGTCAGCCATTTTCTGTGCAGTTCGCGTTCGCCTCATGCGCTACCATCAGATCCCTCATCCAAGGAAATATTACACCCAATCTCATTCTTACCATGGACACTGATGAGTCTTTACAGTTTCGCTGTACACTGACTATGAGATTCCTGCTACCATTATTTTGTGTCACTGATTTCTCTTCTTCATTATCCCCACTTACGCTTTTTCTGACTCTGACCATAAGCCTGACAGAGCCAGGCGGAGAAGAACTCATCGTGGTTTTGGACGTTAGTTCAATTTGATAATAATAATGTTTATTTCCGACTAGCGGGTGGCATAACATCAGGCATGATCATACGGTAACAGTCAGAATAAAGCTTGACTGGAGGAATCGAGGGGGCTGAATACTGCATAAAAACCCACGATGTCGTAATCAGTACACAATATCCGATGTGGACTTGTTGATGTTTAAAAAGGTACGGGGATAAAAATCATAGCCAATGAGAGTTTAGCCTAATTTTGGGGTAAATAGCAAATTCAACCAAGTTCAAATGGTTAGGATTCTAAGGTGGCGGGCGAAAAAGTACGAGGGAGGGTTAAACGGCATAGTTCTAGGATAGGAAAACTTCATGCTGAGAAAAAAGAGGGATCACAACAACGAATCTGGTGTGGTAGCAGGATTGTCATAATCTGGCCGGTTAAGTTGAACTAAAGTCCAAAAGCACCAAAAAGGCCTATTCGGTCCTGGACTGTTAGACTAACGGCCAGGGCTGCAAAAAACGTGGGTGGGAACGATGGGGTAAAGGAATCAGCGGCAGAGAGATAAATGGTAGCAAGGTAGCATGGCCACGGTGTTCGCTGAAACTGTAGAGACTTACTGTTTAGAGTGAGATTGGGCGTAATTTTCTTCGGGGGGGGGGGCTAATGCTAGCACACAAGGCGGAACGCGAACTGTATAGAAACTGAATGACTTTGTCACAAGCGTATGATGAAAGTTAACGAGATTTACAGCAGTCTTTGTCCCCCAGGGATCTAGTTGGCGTTGCATCATCGTCCAATCAGACGGGCCACGACTTTCTCACCAGATTCAAGGTCTAGAGAAATTGTCCCGTGTTGTTGATTGAGGGGCATGACCCACAGATGAAATGTTTCAACTTCTTCCATAGTTTTTTAATAAGCCTATAGTTCGCCGTTCCAGGCAATGATATAATCGGTTAGAGGAGTATTGTTTCTTTAAGTACCTTTGAGAGTCCGTAAAAGCGGGAATTGGCCGAGTAACGGGCCCTTATTCTCTAATCATCTTTTTGTTATCCTGTGGAGATCTTGGAATTACTTTAAGCCCTTACTAACTTCGTTTGCAGTTCAGCAACTAAAACAAGACGATGAGACAGCATATAAATGGCAACAATTCGCAGCGAACAGCTAGCACAAAGAAACCCGTGAGGTGAAAGAA